GAATAATGGACCCAGCCAAGGGTGCTCTGGATTGTCTTGTGCCATTCACTTACCTTGTAACAAAAGCACCACCCTGGACTCAGCAGGAACAGAAAAATCCCTCCCATCCCCCACTTCTATGACTTTATCACCCAGCCCACAATGCAGTGCATCTCAGATACCTGAGCTACCTTTTTGAAAACAACTCCTTCACCTTCTGCCTGCAAGCTTTCTTTTTTTAAGTCTCAGATGTAGGTCCATGGGCACGGAAGGCACAGTAGTACCTATGACAAGCATCCTACTATCTTCCCCATCCTCATGTCTCCTGTGGGTACTCATGGAAATCTTTGAACACAGCCACATCCTCCTGCTCAAGTATTCCGGCAGCAATTCAGTGTGATGAGCATCTCTTCCCAGCCCATTAGACATGCTCTTTACGTCCTGAATTCTAGCAGTGCTCTGTCGGTCGGTCAGTCATCAAATGCACATTGGAAGTCTGCATTATGCCATAGAATACAAAAATAATGAACACAAGTACTTCTGGTCCCTTTTTCCATGGAGCTGACAGTCCAGTAGGAAAAGCAAAATTATTCAAAGAATGATACAAATCAAAGTGAGCACACAAGGGCAACAAGTGGTGCTAGGGAAGAGCAATGCAGAGAAAATCCACTCACTGTGGAGAGCCAGGAGGGTCCTGTGGAAGTGAATCAAAAGCCAACCTGGCGAGGAGTGACAGGAGCATGCCAGCCCCTCAAGTCTGCCCTGGAGAAGAGCACTTACAAGCCTGGGGTGTGGAAGAGCCCTCACGACAGTGAAGGAACGCAGACTGGAGATAATACTTCCCCATCACTTGTTGATGTAGTTAACATTATTGAGATTTCATAAAGCACTGTTATAAGTATCGAGTAACACCGTATAATTTTTGAAAAGATACAATTTTATTTTGGCCCGAAGAGCTTCAAGCTCATTAAAGAAGGCAGTGAAATTAACTTTTCTGGGAACATGAGAACTGGCAGCAGGGAGTTAGTTACACATGAGGGAGTAAGGAATACTCAGACTAGAGAATCAGGCAAGACTCTTGTTAGAGGTCACTGAGGGGAAAAGAGACGGATGGGATTTCTAAGGTGAACAAAGAGCCTGAGAAAAACACAGAGGCAGGAAACAGCATGACCTGCTCAGGGATCCACAGGAAGTGAAGTTTGGCTTCTGAGAAGGACAAGAGCAGATGGAGGTCACAGGTGTGGCCTGAGATGAGGTCACACAGGCAGAAACACCAGAGACCCCAAAAGGAGAGGCCTTGTGTGAAGCTAAGACACAGGGAATTTAGCCACAATAGTAGTAAGGACAAAATGAAGGAATAAAAAGAGACAGTGAATGATTTTCTCTGTTGTTTCATTTGTTTTTGTCTCTTCTTACCTCCAAAAGTGAAATATACTAAGATTTCAAAACAAATTAAAATAAAAATACAGTGATTGATCTTAATTCTACTTTGTCATTTTTTCAGATTTATTTCCCCTGCTGTATGTTACCACATGGAATCCTCAGGTGCTTTTCCATACATGTAACATTTCTTCAGGTAAATAAGCCCGGAGTTTATTTGCTGCCAATGCACTATTTTGTGTTTTGATGAGCACTAAAACATTCTGGCATTGAACAAAAATTGATGTTTTAGTAAACTGTGTGGTCACATGTATGATATTATAGATGCTACATAAGAAATAGATCTTCAAATCATGATTTATTTATAGAACATAAAAGAGGAAAGAGATTTTAAAAAAATAATAGCTCTTAATCATAAGCATGCTGAGCATTCCAGAAGACAGATAATTTAATATTATGTCTGACATGTGCAAAAAGATTTATTAACATATGTTTGTGTTGTAAAGCATAAGATATATTAAAATCCCATGAATTTACAATCCTACTAAAAATCATGAAGATGTCTTTATCTATGCATTCTACTCCTATCTCCTCTCATTTTACCACTGTCCCTAAGCACAATATAAATTTTTAGTATAAGCCTATTTTGCTTTTTTAAAATAGCTGTATTAAATGTGCATATTTAGAAACCATATTGCTTAATTTTTGTGTGTTTAAGCATTATCTTAATGATGTCATACTATTTATGTTTCTTAGGACTTTTTAAAACTCAACTCTAGATTTTTATGTTTATATACTACTCTATGCAGCTATGGATTTTTCAGTTTTACTCCTGTGTAATATCCCATTGTGTAAATGTAATACAGTTTATACACTCATTCTCCTGATAATGGATTCTAAATAATTACAGTTCCTAACTATCATACACTGGTTATTATGGCACCAGGATACATGCATTATTTCTCTGGAATTACTGAATTATAGAGCATTTCCTGGTTGAGATTTCTAAGAGAATTCCAAGTTTCCAAAGTGACTTTCTAATACAGTAAAATTGTGGCTTGCAAGTAACTTGTTCTGCAAGATGGGCAAAGATCTCTAATAAACTTGAACTTGATGAATGAATAATGTCTTGCAATATGAGAACTATGTGATGACAAACATCACATGATCACAGCCAAGCCAGTGCCAGTGGTTCTTCTGTCTCTCCCTCCCTCTCCCTCTCTCCCACTGTCTCTCTCTTCCCTCTTTCTGTCTCTTGCACACTGTAAAATTGTGGTGATCATCTCCCAAAGCAACAGTTTATGGAGGAGATCTCATCTACAGAGGAGGAGGAGGAGGAGGAAAAGAGGATGAAACCCTCATGCAAGGGACAATTAGGGAAATGTGTAAATTGTGGGAAACTGCACAATTTTATAAAAAAATCACCACCCAAATAAGGTTGCAGCAGCACAACAGATCAATCTTTAAGGACAATGGACTGTCACATTTCCACAAAATGCTCAAAAGGAGGTCAGAGCAAATGTCATTGGATATGTTCCTTGCTAAAAGTACATGAAAAGATGGTTTCCTTTGCAGAGAAGAAGATTTTTAATAAGATGAGATCCCAGTTGATTCTGCTAGCTCCCGTACTGCTGAGGATTTGTTCATAAAGTCTTTTCCTATGACAGTGTCTTCAAGAGTTCTACCTAGCTTATCTTCCAGCAAGTTTAGCGTTTCTGTTTTAATATTTAGATCTTTAATCTATTTGGATTTTAATTTAGTGCATGGTGAAAGATAAGGGTCTAGTTCTAATCTTCAGAAGACTGAGATCCAGTTTTTCCGACACCATTTCTTAAAGAGGCTATCCTTCCTCCAGTTGGGACAGTCAGCTCCTTTGTCAAAGATGAGGTAGCTGAGTACATCTGGAGTTGTTTTTGTATCATCCAATCTTTTCCACTGATCCTCAGGTCTGTTTCTTTGCCAGTACCATGCTGTTTTTATCACAGTGGCTTTGTAGTATAGTTTCAAATTGGGAATTGTTATACCTGCTGCCATGTGTCTGTTGCCTAGGATGGCTTTTGCTATTCTAGGTCTCTTATGGTTCCCAATGAAATTTTGGATTCTTTTTTTCTAGTTCTGTGAAATATAGTGTTGGAATTTCAATTGGCATTGCATTAAATCTGTATAGCAGTTTTGGTGGTATGGCCATTTTCACTATGTTGATTCTTCCAACAGAACTAAGAGACTACCTACAATGTGGGAAAAAAATTTTTACCAGCTGCTCCTCAGACAAAGGACTATTATTTAGAATATATAAAGAACTCAAAACAATCAGCACCCCCCCAAATATAAAGACCTGATTCAAAAATGGGATCTGAAATGAATGGACATTTCTCAGACAAAGAAGTAAAAGCAGCAAGTAAATATATGAAAAAATGTTCCACATCACTGGTCATTCGAGAGATGCAGATGAAAACAACACTGAGATTCTACCTCATCCCACAAAGAATGGCTGCTATCAAGAAATCACACAATAACAAATGTTTGCGGGGTTGTGGGGAGAAAGGAACCCTTCTCCATTGTTGGTGGAAGTGCAGACTGGTGCAACCACTATGGAAATCAATATGGAGATACCTCAAAGAGCTGGGACCAGAGGTTCCATTTGACTCAGCCATCCCTCTGCTGGGTATCTTTCCAAAAGATTTAAAAGAATCATATCACAGTGATATATGCACACCTATGTTTATAGCAGTACAGTTTGTAATAGCTAAAACTTGGAAACAGCCCATTTGCCCATCAGTTGGAAACCGGATAAAGAAGATGTGGTTTTTCTATCAAATGGAATACTAGTCAGCCATAAAGAATGAGAAATTAGATTCACTCATAGGTAAATGGATACATATTGAGGATACACTCCTAAGTGAAATAAATAAGTCACACGTGTAAATACCAAATAGTTTCTCTGGTGTGAAAAACTATAATAGTACATAAGATCCTAATGAGATAACTGACAATGTCAAATAGGAAGAAAAGGGCTAAAGGTGCAAGGAAAGTGGGAAGGGTAGGGGAAATGTAATAAGGGAAAAGAAAAAAACATGAGAAAATGAAAAAATGGAAATCAAGTGTTTGTAAATGGGGAGGAGAGGAGGGGGTGAAGGGAGGGCAGGGACAAGGGGAAAAAAATGAGAACCAAGACCTGTCATGTAAAGGTACCAGATCCCAATAATGAATGTAACTGTATTGTATACCTAAAATGTACCAATAAACTCAATAAAAAAGTACATGAAAAGAAAAAGATTCCATTGAGCCAATAGAGAGCAGTGATTCCGTTAGTGAGAGTGGAAATCATCCTGCACAATAAGCTTCCTCCTCATCTCCTTCATATTGGCAGTGAAGGTTTTCAAAGGTATAAGTAAATTTACTTATTTTTCTTTTATTTTGTACTTTCTTTATTACTATATTGTATTACAGTATTGTACTCATTTTTATGTGAATATTTTAGGGTTGTGGAAGGAATCATCTGAATTTCTGTTATTTCATATTGGACAATTTGCTTTGCTATACAAGTTCTCTGGATTACAAGCATGTTTCCAGAACAAATTATGCTTGCAAACCAAGATTATACTGTATATATCCTTCCATAAACATTATTCAAGATTTCCCAGAATATTGCCAAGGACTGTGACTGGTTGTGGCCAAGGATCACCAATTGCACGCAAGAGTAATGTAAAGAAACTGTCAACCCAGGCCAACCTAATGCCTACAGCTATCACTCACCTTTAATGTCTCAGGGAGGGCTGGGGATTTAGCTCAGTGGTTCCACCGCCTACCTTGCAAGCACAAAGACCTGAGTTCAACCCCCGGTACCTCCCAAAAAAAACTCCAAAAACAAACAAAAAAAACCAAATAGTCATATAATGTATCAGGGGGAAAATAAGGTAATTCCTACTGATTCATATTCTCTCCAATACTTCTGAGTTAAGACCAAAGGAATGACAACGGAAAAACTGATTCAGAATATATTTTGGGGATAAAACATACAATGACATAATAGGTAAAAAGGAGAATTCAGGGATAACCACTTTTACTACTTACCAATATTATAAATAAAATGTTTCAAATTGACTACTTTTATGCACTTGACTTCTGAAGAAATTAAACATCTTTTTTATGTTTATTGGCCGTATACTCACATGTCATTTGCTCACTTTTCTACTGATTGTGTCTGAGGTTTTTTTTTATTGATTGGTGAGATTACTTTGTATATTCTGAATATTAGATGTTTGTCAGTAATTTATGTAACAAATATTTTCTGCTACTTTTTTGTCTTTTCATTTTCATTTTGTCTTTTCAATCTTTGTGGTGATTTTTATAAAGAGACATTATGAAGTTTAATACAGTTGAGTTAATCATTTCTTTTATGGCAAAAAGTTTTATCTTGTTTAATAAAACTTTCCTTACTACAAAACTAGAGCTATAATCTCCTATATTTTCATCCTGAAGTGTTCCTCCTAGTTAGAGTCCTTATCTTTTAAAGTGTACTTTATATAAGGCAGGAATTCAATTTCAGTTTTTAATGGATATTCAGCTATCTCAGCATTGGTTGCTGAATAAGTTGTTCCTTTCTCCACTGATCTTTGCTGCCACTTTGCTACATTTTTTATGTTTTCTATGGCGTTTGGTACACATAGATTTCCTTTCTCTGTCATCCTTTGTATCATAAGAGTTAGGGTCTAGGAGTTGGGTTTTTTGGAACTTCTTTGCCATCAGGGTTTAAGATAAGGTTGGGTGAGGTCAGGGACATGCTCTAATGCAAATTTGCAAGAGAGTAGGGAGATAGAACAATTCACTCCCAACCACAAAGGCACAGGAAACAAGACTTGGATAGTTGTGAGGTCTTACAGAACCCAGATAGAACCCACATTCCCATACCAGTCAAGAGTCAGGAAGCAGCAACAGTTTATGGTGTCATGGGACCTCAGCAAGAGTGATCTTTGAGTAGACTCTCTGGTAGGCTGTACCAGTGAATCATAAAACAAAATGACATACCTGCCTGATTTGGGCATAATCAATGGGGTAGAAAGAGTTAACCACACCACCCCTCCACGTCCCAAACCTTTGCCCTTCCAGCTTTTCAATAGTCTGTTTGTGTTTCCCTTCTTTAAATTCCTTCTACTTAAAATACTGAATGGTTTATGATTCCCCTGTTGCACCAAAGAAACAGGTCGCCTGTGTTAAAGATCACAGTTCCATTTATGAATGGTTCTGCTCCTGGGTTTTCTGTTATACGTCATTAGTTGGTTTTTCTACCCCTGAGGCAATGCACAGCCTCAATATGGCTTTAGAATAATTGTTGTTATCATAGGGCAGAGTTTTTCACCCTACCTTTCTTCATGAATATCTTGTTTGTGATTAGCTCTTTGCTATTCTATATCTACTTTAAAGTCACCTTATCAAATTCATTTTAAACATCATAATTTTTATTAGGTGTGCATAAAGCCAATGGATATATTTTTGAAAAGTTAATATGCGTGTACATTTTAGAAAAATAATTCTAATAATTGTGAATATATTAGATTGAATAGGGTTAGACTAAAAAAAATTAGCTTAGCCATAAAACTAAGTATAGTCATTTAGGAGAAACAAGGCAATAAAAATGGGAATGAAGAGAGTTATGCTATGTTTAAGAAATATACAAAAATGCACTAAGGAGAGAAAGTTAGTAATCACTCAAATTTCCTTCTGGGCCTCAGGGTCTATTTATTTGTTGGATAAATACCAAAATAGCCTGCTGAGACATAAGGATAGTGAGACTAGTTTAGGGAATGTTGACTCCTGGTAACTAAGAGATATTCAAGTGAATAATAAGAGTGTGAAACTCTCAGGAAGGACTGTGGTGTGTATGTGGGTTTACAAGTCAGTTCTATGTACATAACTGTGAAAGCCAGTGTAGAAAAATAAATCCAAGGTAGAGCAGAAACCTTGAGAACACTCATTTTAGAGAGTTCACAAAGAAAGAATCCAGTGAAGAAGACTAAGAAGACTGTCAAAAGACATAGTAGGAAAATAGAAAAAACTTATGAAAGTCAAAAGAGGAAAGATTTTAAGAAGGGAATTGATAACAGTGACAAATAAAGAAAATGAAGTCAATGCACTGGATCTAGTAATATTTTAATTGTAGAAGTAATGTCACTGCTGTTTTGAGGATGAAAAACAAAGTATGGCCATCTGCGCACTAAGTGGCCCCTGAAGAAGGGAAATGTAAGTACAGGTAGTTCAAGTTTGGCTGCGGAGGGAAACACTACAGAACAGTAGCCAGAGGCTGATGTCGAGTTACAGGAAATGTTCTTAAGGAATCGGTTTATGAAGTGAAGGGAACAAACAGAATGTAGAGAAGGGAAAGTGAATGGCTGCTCTCCCAACGTTTCTGCCAAGCCAGAGGACAAGCGCCAAAGCAAGTGGTTGGAGAGATAGATGAGATTACACTTTCACTGCAGGAGGGACACGGTTTCGTGGGAAATGCAAGGGCTGTGAAGCATGGGTGGTAATACATTTTGCTGGTGGTTTGGGGGCAAGAGAGTTATGTTTTTGTTCCTCTGCGTGAAAATGAAGGCAAGATTTTATACTGAGAGCAAGAGGAGATAAGGCAAAGAAAGGAAGTTGGAGAGTAGTCAAAGTTCACAGCAGTTGTTGAGATGAAAGGAAGACTAGCTGCATGGAAAATGACTCCACAAAGCACTGTGAGACTAGCTAATGTTGGACTATTTGTCCGAGCCACTGGGTAATTTTCCTCAGTAGATCACTGTAACTTCACAGCAGATTATTTCATTTTATCTCCAAGCCTGTGTACACAATTCTTACTACTAGAGTGAAATTGGATGCGTGTCATGTGATCTCTCTTGATTTTTATTGAAAGCTGAGATAGGTTGAGTGACAACTAAGATTGCCACAGTTCAACTCACAGGGAGAAAGAGAAGAGATCAAACGATATGTGGCAGGAAAAAAGCCAAAAAATTCACGAATAGTAAAATATTCTTTAACTTTGGCTATTTGGGGATACACCAAGGCACTGAGGTGGGTATAAGCAATAATTATTTCTTAAATAAAGTTAGGAACTTAGACAACACTCTATTACTAATGACAACTGAAAAACGTGGGAAAAACCACTATCTGAAGATAAATTTATGTAGGATGGTGATTAACCAACAGATCAGATATTCTGTTCTTTAAGAAACTTAATAAAACTGTAGAACTTATTGATTTGCTCTTCCTCCAGGCAGAAATATGCCAAGGATATACACAGAGAAAATAAATTAATCGTGAGCTTTTCCTAAGAAAGCTCAAGCAAACGCAGAGTTATAGGGTCTCAAAGTGAATTCAGAGACAGTGCTGGCTCAGGGTACAGCTAATATTATAAAGATTCATTACAAGTGTTTGTATTAACAAAGATGAAACATCTATCATATGACCAGAAGATTCGTTTTCTCTAAAATATACCCAGGAGAAATGGAAATAGAACAGCAAGTTATACCTTGATGTATGGATAAGCCGTCTGTGAAATAGAGATCCACCAGGTGCCCCACGAACGGCAGTTCTGGATTCTGGGGAATGGTTTGATAGCTTGTTAATCACCGAGACTCCAACAAACAGCACAGCTATTACTAGAAAATGGGATGGGATGGGGCAGAATGCTCCAGAGAAGAGCTGGAAAGCCGGAGAGCTTAACTTGTTGTCCCAGATATGAAATCAAGAGCTGCATGCTCTGCTGACTTGGGAACAATATCAGCTAAGCTGGTCTCCAGTCACCTGCCATGCACATGAAAAGTAGTTTCCCAGCTAAAATGAATAATATGGCAATGAGCAGAATGATTTTCTATTCAATCAACCAAGGGCATATATGAACTACAATCTTCAGAGGTAATTCAGGAGAAACCAGAGTGTAGAGAGGACTCAAACCAGTTGAGAGGCTGATAGGAAAGAAGGAAGAAATCCTTCCTAAAGATGTGAACTTTTCTTTCTACTTCTTTGTTATGGGCACTTTTCCTATGAGAGAGAGACAGAGATGAAAAGAAATAATTTTTTGTTTTTTGTTTTTTTGCAGTACTGTGGATTGAACCCAGGGCCTTTCCACTGAGCTACCTCCCCAGACCGTTTTTATTTTTTTATTTTGACATAGGGTCTCCCTAAGTCACTAATTTAGCCAGGCTGGGCTTAAACTCCTCCTCCTGCCTCAGCTTTCTAGAGTGCAGGGATTACAGACATGTGCCCACTCCCATTTTAGGAAGACTTTTTTTTTTTAATCAGAGCCTTTAGAACAGCTTCCAAAAATCTTCAAATGCCTAGGAATAAAGGAAAGATATATAAAAACTTTACACAGAAAAGCAAGGATATAGTGAAATTTAAGAATACCTACATATATAGAGGAATATGTCACATTTATGGGTTAGATTATTTGTTATTATAAAACTTCCTTTTTCCCAAATGAGTCAATATAGTTCCAATTAAAATCCTAGCTTTCTTTATGGAAATGGTCAGAGCCAAAAGGCTATTTTGAAGAATAAAATGTAAGAGAAAATAGTACTTGGCATTAAGGCATTATACAGCTTTAGTAATTAAGGGAGCATAGTGTTGCACGTGGATAATCAATCAGAAACCAATAAAACAGAATAGAAAATCCATACGTAGACACGTACTCATATGGTTTGCTGATCTTCAACAAGTGTCACTATAACTCAGTAGGAAAAGGAGATTTTTAATATATAGTACTATATCAACTGGGCACCCATACGG